CTTATGAGATTAAGAGATAAGTTTTAAAATTGAGTTACTCTTAAAATGGGATTATAAGTGGATTATTATATAATCAGTCTCGATAACGCTATGTAGAAGTAGTATGAATAAATAGCGGAACATTTTTGTTTTTATTAGAAACTTCTCACTTGCTCAAAGTGGGTACAATATCAATTAACGGTACTACGAAACAAAAAGCACATTTGGATAGTTTCTTATGTATAAAAGATCGCTCTACGAATGAAAAAACATATTCTTCACATGTGTTATTATGAATAAAACCTACTACTGAACATAGTTGTAAAACTGATGGTACAGCAAATGAATTTCGTAAATTCGACGAACAAATAGTTTATCGTTTTCAGGAATACTCAGGAAATACCGAATTTTAACGTGACATATTGTTGTAAAGATATGTAACTGAAATTTAGTAATTAAAAGATTTCCTCACCGCTCCCCTTTCGTCAAAAAAACTTTGTTCTTACCTAGATGCGTTAAGAATATTTACTACAGGAAAGTAAGAAAATATCTTTTATTCTTTCCTTTTTGTTAATAACTAATTAGTGCTCATTAACGTTAATTTAGTCTACTCTAATGGTGAGCTAGTAGAATGAGATGTGTCATCATCTCGTTTACAAAATAACAACTCAATGAAAAAATTCAAGCAATACCTCATCTGATAGATCACCACAACAAGGCTATCTAAACGTTTTTTTTGAATTTCAGCCACACGCTCAAAACAGGATAGTAAGAAACAATGAGTTTGAAAACCGTACATGTGTTTGTCGGCGTCTGCGAGAAGGAAAACAATCAAAAAAGACATTTCCAATAATTTGGCATTTTGGTAGTATCTAAAGGGACCTCCATCGTAACAAAAGCAGATCTATTGAACCTTCGTATATGATATAAGATAGTCTGTGTTGTAGCCCGTAATATAAAAAATAACGGCACACGCAAGTATTGTTCTTACGTATCTGGGACAACATTGAGTATAACAGGCAAATCTCTCGTGTTTGTACCTCCAACTTTGATGTTAATAATGAAAATGCGTGGTCTTTCTTTGAACGTATTTTTGAATCTTTTTCTTAGACTGTTGAAGCACCAATAAAGCCTAAGAAAAAATGTTTAGATTAGTTTTTTTCTATTTTGCCGCCAAGAAATTTGATTCTCACCTAATTTCTTCTACATTTGTTTCTGGACTATGGAAAGGAAATTTCTTAGTGAGAAATTTCCTTTCCATAGTCCAGAAACAGGAGGCTCCAACATAATATCTCCACTATACTTTACAGATTCGTTTTCACTAACAGAAATTCCGCACGAGATGGCTTCTTTAGTCTCAAATCGTGGCAAAGTGTTATGCAGAATGCATTGTGTTCTTTGCTGTAATCAATAAAAATTAAGAAACCCTCTTTAAACCGCCTTTAAGAGTTTGTGGGTAGTTAATGAAGTCTGAAGTGGAATTGCTTCATGTCTGAGCTACGGCTTCAGTCCGATCTTAAGACTTCTCAAAAAAAGGAATGCTACTTATTAATGCTATTTATATTGGCGATCAATAACAAATAGAAATCAAACAACAAAAAATGCATCAGAAAAAAGATGATATGCTTTTTCACTACAGTTTATCGTTCAGTTGTTTTTGTACATATTAAGGCATTCAATTATTGCTTGAATATTCAAAAGTTCAACGGTTTCTAGAAAGGTTTCGCTGAAACCTTCGAAACTAAGAGAATATTTTTTACTGGCTTTACGTATACAAGCAGAATGAGCGGATAAAATAGAGTATTTTCTGCTATTCTGAAGTAAGATGCAGGGAAGGCAAACTTCCAATGGAGTTTATTTTCAAACATATCATACATCGTTGGATAGAGAACTTCAAGGCGGTCAAGAATATATATGCCTTGCCTTTATCTGACACCTTTTCCGGTCGAAAAATTAAAAGGTCTCGAAAGGTGTCAATAATCGACATTTTTTTGTCTTTTCTGAAATTATGTTATGAGATGGAATGTTCTAACTTGTTTCAGCATTGAAAGCTGAATTAGAAAATGATCTTAGAACATTTTTAGAACAAAACACCTACTCACAAAAACAACAGAAAGATAAAAATTCGGTTTACTCTTCTTGAAGACTGTAGCGAAAAAAAAATACCATCTTTTTTTCTGATGCATTTTTTGTTGTTTGATTTCTATTTGTTATTTATCGCCAATATACCATACGATGCGGTGAAGTCTGTACTTTCTCGCTATATACCCATTATTGAAAAAAAGCAAACTATAATAGTTTAAAGTAAAAAATACATAGGGGGGAAAACCAGCTGAGGTGCGCTGTAGATAGGTTTTGTTTCACGATCAAATAAGGCTCGAAAAATTTTGTTATCATCATTAGGTAGAGCTCGTCGAGTTCTATATGGCACACTTATTTCCAGAGATGGCACAGCTTTAATAAAAAGTATTAGGCGAAAATATAGAAATCTGCTGCTGCTAACTTCCCTTACGTTTTTTTTCTTCTTTCGTATGATTTACGTAGTTTTCTTGATTAAAGTTCTGAAATTAAAGTTTAGGTATGGTTTTGTTAAGAATTTGACGGCGCATCTTTAGGTTAAAAATATTTCAAAAGGGTTGAGACTGTATGGAGAAGAATAGAAAACAAGAAACACCCATTTTATCTGGACCACCGATATATTCATTTTTTGTAAAAGTTGAAGAAAAATTCGAATCGAGTCCAATAACTTTCAGATTTTGTACTTGATCTTACAATGCGATAATCTGATAAATAGCATTTACTAGGACTTTAACAAGTTACCTACGCATCCTTGAGTTCAGGATTTTCTCCATTACATTTCCATTTTTCGGGAAAATGAACTAAACAGAGAAATGCATGGAAATAGTACTTTTCCTACATCATCTGACCTCATCACTCAACTGAGCATTGTCACTCTTATTTTATTTGTTTTCGCCGCTGCCATTAACTCCGAACAGTTTGTTCCAATGTTTAAGCCAATTTATAAACAGAAATTCTGTCTAGCAATCCATTGTTCACTGTCAGAGCTTGTTAAACTAATAATTTTTCAAGGAACACGTGTCCTTTTATAAAAAATGAAGCCTATATGAATACTGATTTCTGTTTCTTGTTCAAAGATAATTAACTACCGTGTCAAATGTGTAATCACCTCATGCTAGCAACAACTCTTAGAACATGAAATACAGAACAGGACTTGTCTGCAGAGTACATTCTGTTTTCATAATATTTTCAAGCTTTTTTGTTGCACATTATTTAAAGAGAGAAGATGAAGAACGCTTTTCACTTCAACATTGTACCTTACCTTTTTGATAATATTTTTAAATGTTATTTTATATTTGATAGACTGAAGGAATGTTTTGGTAGAACGATCTAAATCATCCAATGGAATTTGAGAAGACTCGTGGCGATAATATTTTAGTGGAAGTTCTAGCTGGATGAGAAAGCACTTCATTGTGAGGAGAAAATTCTTTTCTATATTTCAACACTTGTTTGTAGGTTATTTTTGCGTAATCGACTTTGTGTATTATCTTTAGGGTATGTATATTTTTGATCACCAAATTTCTTTCTATTGAAATGATCACCAAAAAATAATAGTTTTGATCACCACAGTTAACTACAACAACAAAATTAACTTAGTTTCAACGGGGGATTTCGAGGAAAATACTTAAAAATTATATTATCTTGTAAAGAATTTCAAGCTCCATCACCTGTATGAAATGCATGCTATTTGTGCTCGTCAGTTAATAATTATCCTTGTTCTGATTAAAATGCCGCTATCAATCTTTTTATCTAATACCGTGTTCATCACGTATAAGATATGGTTCCATGAAAAATAGCTGATTGACCATAATTACCCCAAGTGACTTTTTCTCGAAAAACACACATTCTCCTAATTTCTAATTAGTTAATTAACGGCAAGGGCAAATAGCATGCAATTCATACAGATGATAGACCTTGGAATTCTCTACAAGATAATGTAATTTTTAATTATTTTCCTAGAAATCTTCCGTTAAAACTAAGTTAACTTAAGGTTATCACAGCCATTTTTACTGTATTAACATAATTACGCCAACGGTACACGTTGACTGACCATAATTACACTGCTATTTATCTGTAAAATATCGCTCTTCCAGGATAAAAATTGAGCAACCTATAGCAGCAATACGACGAAATTTTGAGGACCTGACCATAATTATCCCAAGGCACTCTATGTAATACAATGTAAAAAAGAAAAACTACTTTTCTGGTGGGTTAAACAGTGATATTGATGGTCCGATATCTCCATAAATTCAGGCGTTCTTTTTTCGAAAAATAGCTCAAAATAATGTGTAACTTGTGTACTTTAAGTTAAATTAAAAAGGATAAAGAAGTCCTCTCAATTAATGCTATATTAATCGAGTTTTTACATCTTCATGTAGTGCATAACAAAGCTCGTTCTAGTGAGAGGTTACACAGATAAGTCATACGTGAAGTCATTTTAACTGAACTTTAACACACATCTTTTCAATGTCATCGCAGCGGTAAATTACAATTCTACATCTACGCCGATGTTTAAATTTCTATATGAAGATTCGCTCTTTGACATCAAATTCAGAACAAACTTACATCTGATATGGTGTATACTAACCATAAAAGATTCCAGACAGTTAATTCGAATGTTTGGACATTTCTTGCATGAAAATGACTCATAGATGAAGTTTTTGCTTTTTCTGTTGTTTTATGCTAAACAGAAACGAGCAGTAAGAAGGTGAAATAACATGGGGAAGAACAAAGCAGGTAAAACACTTATACATCGTTGTTCTAAATAGATCACATATATGTGCTTGTGCAGTGAGGTGAATCAATCGTGTGCGCTTTTATGTTAGATAACAATTATATCCACGTTTCACTTATTGTCTGTGGTGAAAACGTATTAATCAATTATTTAAACAGTGAATCGTGCACATCTTATTTTTATTATACTTTCTTAGGCTTTTTGAAAGATGTATTGGAAACCATTGCTTTCTCAACCGGAAACCAAATCAGCTCTGTTTTTATTATCAGCAAGCGTTTTTTTACTAATCTCAGTGTGTTTTATGCAATCATTCACACTTACAGGTTATATCGTTGCGTCGCTTGTTATTGGATTTACCTGCCGAAAACTGGCTAGTGGTCGCTCATTTATTCACCTCGACTACGGTTTAACTGGAAAAGTGGTCATTATCACCGGTGCATCGTCGGGTATTGGACGAGTAGTAGCAGTGGAACTGGCCAAATTAGGAGCAAAAGTTATTCTGGGGATCCGTGGTGAGCGGCGAGCAAAAATAATAGCTGAAGATATTCAACATGCAGCAAAAGTTAGCCCGGGTAAAGTTATCGGTTACAACTTGGATTTATCAGATTTAACGACGATAAAATCATTTGTTGATCAAATTCTGGAACACGAACAGAGTGTGGATATTTTAGTGAACAATGCTGGAATCTTACGAAAGGCTCATTCGTTAACGGTTGATGGTTTTGAGAGTCATTTTGGAATCAATCATCTGGGCCATTTTTATCTAACTCAACTTCTTTTACCATTATTAATACAATCAAAAGCACGCATAATAGCTGTTAGTTGTATGACGAGCTGGAGTTCTTTTGATGAAGACAGGATCAATTATCAATTTCCATTGTCAAACTATCATGGAATGACTGCTTATAGTAAATCAAAATTAGCTCAGATTTGGCATGTATCTGAATTACAACGACATTATGGTGATCAAGGCATTACCGCATTTTCGCTTCATCCTGGTGTGGTAAACACACACATTTGGCGTGAATCTCCAAAGTACGTACAGGCGTTGCTACGAGTACTCCATTATTTAGTGACAAAAACACCGTTTCAAGGTGCACAAACAGTGTTATACTGCTGTTTAGCCGATAATTTGAAATCAGGTGTATTTTACGCTGATTGTCACGAAGCGCAGCCAGTTTCATTAGGTTACAATGAAAAACTAGCCAGAGAATGCTGGGATATTAGTGAGAAAATGATCAAAGAAAAACTGCATTAATTAGCGTTTTCTCATATCAAACAAACAAATGATGAAGATTGATTAAATGGAGGTTTAATAACTCTTTTTTGATTATGCAACTTTTGCAGTGTTATTAATCTTTTCTACTTCGATACATATAACATTAGTATAACAAAGCTAAATAGCAGATTACTGACATACTATGATACACTCTCACAGGATACATACACACAGTTTGCATCCAGGCGGATCCAAGCATGAAAAAATAAGCCAGTAGTGCCCGCTGCCGCTAGCTACACTAGCTTCAAAACCCGCTGCAACTAGCTATAAAAAAACGTAAAAATATTAAAATGATTCAGCAGGCGCTGCAACTAGCTACGCTAGCTTTCACGCCCGCTGCAGCTACAAATTGTCGATAAAAGCTTGATACGATAAATGACCCGCTGCAGCTAGATTCTCAACTAGCTGTGACACTAGCTGCAGCTAATTACTTTTATTAGTAGTTTCTATGAGAAAGATAAGCTAGCTGCAACAACTGCTGTAGCACCGGTTGCATCGGCCAGTAACAACTAACAGATCAAGAGCACCGAAAATTTTTAAAATAAAACTCGATAGAGCTATCTGCAACGTTGCTGCACTTTTATTCTACATATTAAGAATCAGCATGAAAAACTGCATCGAATGGTGTATAACTCATCTGGTTTCGGGCTCAATTTTGAATTCTAGAAATTTTACACGACAGTTAGCGGCCACTTCAGCTAGCTGTTAAAAACTGCCCTAGTCGAAAAGGCCGCTAAATTGGACGCTGCAACTAGCTTATCTTCTCTTCGAAACTATCAGAGCTAGTTACGAATGTAGTCGCAGCAGATTCTAAAGCGTCAAGCTCCGATCTGATGTCTCTAGCTACCGTCATCTTGAATTGAATCTCGATGTGTATCGGGTGAATAAATAAGAGCCGAATGCTGTTAAAAGTTTTAAATTGTAACAAAACAGTAAATTTTTTCCTGTATTTCAGCGATGTTAATTCTAACAATCTCATAGTCAGGTATTTTCCAAAGAGCAGAAGAAGTGCAATATACTTGCACCAAAAAATTAACAAAAGCATTAAAAGAAATCATAAAAAAAAGTCTAGAGCTCAACTTAGAACTGTGTATTCCGTTCTTCTTAGCTTAGAAACACTTTTATTAAAAAACAAGGTCATATTTGGAACCAGCGTAGAAAAGTGTATCATATCATTATCTTCAGTTAATTTCAGACGAGAAGAAGTTTTTGACAAAAATTTACGGCAAGTGTAATTCACGGTAAGGTAATTTCCGTCGAAAAAAAAAATTTTCCTCTTCGTTTGTTTCTGTTCTGTTCTGTTATCTTTTAATACTCGCTTTTCGGAAGAAGAAATTTATTAGTTCTTTTTAGATTGTGATCGAGTGGCTATTTAAGTCAGAATGCTGAATATCATAAAAAGAATTTTGTTAAGGCGAAGTAACCACTCCCAAATCTGTCCTCAAATTATGTCAGTTTGTAGAGTGCGTTCAATACTATGTATCTTCGAGAAATTTCGGCAGTCCTATGAATATTGGTATATGAATCTTTTAGCGTTGGACTTTAGTCAAAATTTTCGGTCGAGCGACTGATTTTACTCATTTACTCATGGATACTCATTTAGTCAACAAATATTCGTGCACATTTTCAGTCAATGTTCTCAAGATAATGAAGCTGTGACAGTGATATTCAACGATGTTTTATCCAAAACAAAAACATTAGATTCATCTGTTAACCAAGCATTCATTCGTTCGGCTCGTATTCATTAACTGCTGTCGACCACCCCTTTTATACAAATAAAAGTGCATGTGTCGCACACATCAACAATTTTGTAACACAACCAAGCATATTCTTTGCCTCAGTACTTCTAGTGAATAAACTAATACCTTTCTGTATTTGTTCTTTTCAAGCGTAAAATCCGAGCAACCAACGGCGTGAACCTAAAGTTCACGCAAGGGTCTTACTTCAAATGCTGTTAAGCAAACATTCGCTCACCCTCTCTTGCTATGTAGTAAAACATTTCCTGTCTTCTAGCACTTCAAAATGCTGCCCAAAGTTTTGTGTCAAATCTGGCTGTAATATTATGTGCTGATAATCTTAGGGAACTCAAACTAAATCACTCTGAAAAATTCCCAGGCTTTGCTGCTTGTGAAAGGATTTTTGTGGAATCTTCAATATTTATGGTTAATGTATGCAAGACGCTTGGTACAGCATAGCATTCATTACACTGCAATCGATGAAACGTTGTCTTGTGGCTCATTCTCATCCATTGCAATCTCCTCTGCAGATTATTCTATACCACGGCGCTATATCAGAGGAGATTGTTACGATGTGGTTTTTTTCTTCGACGTGGTAGGATCTAATCATGATAGTGGACACTGCAATGCAGTATATATATATATAACTGTTGTCTGTTACTCTAAGAGCTCTTCAGTCCTATTAATGCACATGTGTTTTCCAGTCTGGTTCATTTTTCAACGCAAGCAAACGATTTTATCACAAAATCTGAATTAGATCAGAGCTGAGCAACTCAACTCTGAAGTTGAGCTCGTTTTTTGCAGAGTTGCAGTTGAGTTGGAGTTACGATCGGAGTTGAGTTGATGACAGATTTTGTCAACTCCAGCTCCGAAACTGCGATTAAAAATTACTGCGTCTACATCAATTCCTGTGGAGCATGTTTTTTCACAATCAGGTTTTTGGTTTCGATCACGTCGTAATAGTATGACGAAGAATATGCTTTTAAAATTAACATTGTTGAAATGTAATTTTGGTTTATTATAGTCTGTCGACATCACAACTTCGCGGGAGCACAATTGCAGTCGAGTTGATCATTATCGACTGAACGAGCACACTTTTTCCATATCAGTCAAACGAGTTGGGTCAAGCAGAGCATATCAACGATGTGCATTCTTGTTTAAGATAGAAAAGGACAGGTTGAGGCTATTATATACCACTCGAAAGCTCTTTTCCTCGGTAACATTTCTACATATAATACATTGAAAACTATTTGCTTTTGAGCAGAAAAAAACCGAGCATTTACCACTATATCAGATGCGAGGTCTATTCTACACAACTGCAATCTTATGGTTATTTTTTTGCTTTACGTCACTCACTAGCTCTACGATCTGATAGAGCGTTTGACGGGCTACAATCTGGTTTACAGACATACGAAAAAAATTGTAATAGTGTAGGCAACGGATGAAAATTAGCGTTTCCATAATGAACCGAATCTGATTGAATCCATATGAAACCTACCACCATTACATCCACATTCGGTGCCACTAACAAAGCTTGCCTCATTTTGTAGAGCTCGACGGGCTGAATCGAATGGAGAAAACTGCAAGTCTCCAAGTGACTGGAAAAAAGTTACTGGCACTTTACTCTTTCGACGGAAATATGCACTTTTCGTCATTTTTCAGCGGATTTGGCCTGACTTGTGAAACATCTCCTAACCGTAGAACCTTGAGCTTAGTTTTATACGAAAGGCATTCTAATTAAGCAGAACATCAGGAATGTGTCCGAAATTGAATCATAATGAGTTTCACTACATCCAATTTTCCGCTAAAAATAATTATTTTTGACACGGTGACACGACATACTGTACACAGGATCCCGACTTTTGCGAAAATATTTCATACTACACATTGGGTATTTTTGGCAGTGTGTGGTGAGAGGGTGTGAGAGGACAGCCTCAAAAATTGAAAAGGAGGTGTACAAGGGCGTAAAAACAATGAGATATTAGTCAAAAAACAATTTCCAAAATCCTTTAGGCCTAAAAAAACCGATGGAGAGATTTCGCGAAACTAAGTGTCAGGAAATGTTCCTAGGCATGCCCTGACATTCACAAACCTGTGTATTCACAATTATGTTCAGACGTTAGCGTGCTTATCATAACCTCCTCATATAAATGAAGTACTTGCGGAATAGTTTTTTGTTCATTTGAATGTATTTCGATCCTTATGGTAAATGCTCTACATTCATCGCGCATTTTAATAGCATTATTTCTCCCGGCTGCGAAAAATATGAGCTATCGCGTAAACGACAATTATTGCGATAGCAATAGACTCATATGTCTAAACCATCTCGTAGCACTGTTAAAAAAATTCACATTAGATCTTAGGGGCAGCCTACCACCTTCGTGTGAATTTTCCGCTATGGTAAGTTTACGCTAAATATTCGGTTGCATTTACATTCTTTTAAAAATTTTTTTTATCGTGTTAATTCACATTAGATTGTAAGAAAAGTTCACATTAGATCTTAGGGGCAGCCTACCACTTTCGTGTGAATTTTCAACTATGATAAGTTTACACTAAATATTAGGTTATATATACATTTTCTTTAAAAACTTTTCTATCGTGTTAATTCACATTAAAGCATACGATTGATTTATCTTCCAAAACCTTTCTCGGTGTAAATTCATTTTGTCTCAATGTTTAGAAAATTCACAGAAAAAATTATTGCTTGTATGTATTCACACTAGATTTCGTATTCGTTTTGCGTGAATGTGCCTGGCCGTAGCGTATGTTCACATTATATATATTTATTTCCTTATTTGTTTAATTCTGAAATCGAGCTCATAATTGTTCAATATTTATTTTTTTTTTCGAGTTTGTTTAAAAACCAATGACATGATACAAAAAAAACTGAGAATTGGAATAAAAAAATATCTGGCTGTCTATAGTGAAGAGAATTTGTCATTTATTTTCGAAGGAAAATCCTTAGTGGCATCAACACCCATAAAACCTTCTCAAAAAGTCAGCCGCACTTGTAAGAAGTTTTTATATGGTATAATTGCCTGCTGAAGTAAATTATCTATTTTTGCAAAATTATAGTACAGACTGCTATTGATAGAACTGAATGCTCCAAAAAAGCTACTTAATTTATACCTGTTCCTGGTACCACAAAAACAAAAATTCATCAATGTACGTGTGATTATGTTAGAAAAAAATCTCACACAACAGAAAATGTCAATTATAAAACGCTAATTTTTAACATAATAC